ATTTATACTTCTAAATTAACCAAAAAGTAATTATTTAAGAAGTTGTAATTTCATGGACTGTGATTGATAAGAGAAAGGTTTTAGGAGAAATAAAGTTCAATTAAAAACTTCAGTATAATATGACGTTTCAATGGTACATTTCCATTTTCTTTACACTTTTTGTTTTTCACATCGGAAGAAAATGGAAAATGAAAAAAATGGCAAATGTAATTCAAAACAAATTTAGGAAAAGTATTTGTTCTTAATATTGTTTTCTAGATTTTATGTATTGTTTACTTTTATCTACATTTTTATTACTTTACTTGAGAATTTATTTTATGTTACGTTTTCAAAAAAATATTCAAACTATTATGTATTACAGGGATCAAGTTTTTGTCTAAAAAATGTTGAAAATTTAATTAAGTAACTCTTGGTAAGTTCGCCCCAACTTGGCGAATAATTAATTGTTTGCTCTTTTTGCGCTCTATTTTTCATAAAACGCCATAAAGAGCCATCAATAATTTGTTCAAAGCCCTCGCGTGTAAAATACAGCCACTTAAGAAAGCCACAAAATGTGCCTCCTAATAATTCATTTATCGCTTGTAAAATTCATTTCGCTAACTTTTATATTTCCCAGATGGTCACAAGTTGTCATAAAACTTACCCGTTTTGTCTTAGTGTCCGACCAAAACAACATATTTTTATTGTGATGAAAATCTAATCCACTAGCCCCCGTCGTATTCGCAATGACTTGCACATCCTGTCCCGTGGGACTCATCCTGAAGATGGCTTTATCATGGACGAAATACAGCATCATGGCGCTGGCATTAAGGGCATTACACCTGTTTTTGTCCTTGAGGGCGTACCCCAGAGCACAGGAGCACTTGTACCCCCCATCGGTGTTGGTGCAGATTTGGTCGCAGAAGCCCCATTCGGAGCACTCGTCTCGGTCGACGCAAGTGCGGTTATCGGGGGCCAATTTGCGCCCATCTGGGCAGTAACAGGAGCCCCCCGTGAGCGACGCCTGACACTTATACTCGCACCCCAACGAAGGACATGACAATTTCGCTGGAATTGATAAGTGTTATCAAAGAATGGGTCAATTTGGGGGGGTAATTATTACAGCACGCTGTCTCCTCATCGGCCCCATCCTCGCAATCGCGTTTCCCATCACATAACTTATTTTTCTGGATGCATTTAGGACTCCGGTTGGTGCCCCCTTTGAGGCACAGGAATTTGTTGTCCGGACATGCGATTGCGGTGCAATTGACTTCGTCGGAGCCGTCGGAGCAGTCCTGATAGCCGTCGCAGTGGAAGGCTCCGGGGATGCACAAGGCGTTGGCACACCGGAATTGGACTCCTTGGCAAAGGGGGAAGTCTGGGGGCGAAATTAAGTTAGTGGAAGAAGAACCAGTTTAGCCCAGTCAAATTAGACAAATCGGTGAAAAAAATCCTAGAGAGTTAGTTTTTTTTTAAACGCTTTTGTAGACATACAGGGTGAATATAAAGTATGGAACCAAGCGGTTTTGTTTTTGATCATTTGCCTCCGTAAAATAATAATTAAGATAAATTAGAGTAATATAAAAAATGTGATCGTATTTTCAGAACGAAATTTTGTTTTGTTTTGGAGTTACGCGATTTTTTTTGTCAAAATTGCAATTTATGTGAAAATTTTTTTTGAAAAAATTAAAT